GATATATTCTAAAGTATTCTTTAGATCTTTATGCCTCTCACTTTTGGATTTTAACAAGACCGCATCAACTGTTCCTTTGAAAGTTTTTCATCACAGCTTGTTAGATCTTGGGTCAGTTTGATAAACCGACTTATATTTTCTTCCACATCAATAAAGTGATCCATTTTACTGTTTCAGTAAATAAAAATTTATTTGAAACAGTTTTAGTAACATATTGAACCGGCAATGGTTTTAGTATCACCAATAGTTCTTATCACATTTCGGACATACGCAAGAAAAGAGTGATCTATGCAATTTCTTCGAGTTCAGTTCTCTGGGTAGGATTAATATCAACATTTCAAGAATTATCCAAAGCTCTAACACATTTCCGTTGCATCAACATAGCTTTTAACTTTTGTCCCCACAAATTAATATCCCCTTCCTACCGAACATGTTCAACTCAAATAAGTAGTTGTCATCTTGAAGAAAATAAATGTCAAAAACTTATGAACAGTCAAAAAATTACACTCAATAATTTTAGAGAACCAAGAAAAAAAATTTAGTGCAATCAAAATTAATTTGATTAAATTTTTAAAAATTAATAACACACAGCATGAATTAATCAAATTCAATCAATATCAGAATACACAATATATATCTTAAAATGACAATTTATACATAGAATTTCTACTCAGCAATTTTACTTCACATAAAGAAAATGTAGAAGAAAACTTGCAGATGAATCAAAGAACATATATCACATTTAATGTTTTCAAGTCTTTTCCCTCGAGATTCTCCAGATACACATCCCTAATGAATTTATCTTAGATTTCGAAGACCTCGTTTAAACCTTTGGACAAAGATTAGTCTCCAAAAGATATTCTGTTTACGAAATATTTCTTTCGAGTTAAAATTATCGTAAGTGTACGGTTTGTTAACAAGTAATAAAGTGGAATGTTAAATTCCGAGTATCGTTCCACGGAGATTGAGTAGTTCAATTCTAACTATTTTAGCCTTAACCGAAATAAATTTGTCAAAACAGGAATTTATTCTTAGAAAAACCCTAATTATGCAAACTTGATTATTGGAATGAACTCAGTATACAAAACGATATTTTAATGAATTAAAATGCAAATTATAAGTTTAGAACGCGAATTGGTTGTATTCAATGAAAATTAAAAGCACTAGGATCACGAATTCACATGCTATGATCAATCTTAACCCTAATTTCACAAAATGACAACACAATTTAATTATTGACGAATCAATGCTCCTAATTCTATTCAACACTCTCTCTCGATATGTATTGAACCTATTTTTATATATCACCGGCATTTATCTCTATGACAAATGCATATGGTTTTATGAACATCTAAACATTCACGCAAAGTATAGAGGTATATCTCTATCCCTTATCGGACCCTACGACGATTTATACCTTGTCAAATTTATTTTTCTTATCTCGAATAGATGAAATAAACCACCAAACATCACATAATTACGTGCACTTAATTATGGGAGAAAATTATTGCATATAAATCATTCAAACATTCAATACGTGTTTATTGTCAAATTGAAAACTAGAAATTAAAGAAATCACATCATATGGTACATCAATCTCCTAGTACATGAAAATCTAGCCTATCATGGAGAAAATTACAGAATACATGATAAATTGAAGAAAAAGCATCACCGGGTTATGAATTTGCTTGAAATCTTGATGATCTTTGTGTAAATTCTCGTTACTCTGGCCCAAAATCCTTTCCAAGATGTGTTTTCTTGCCTCCCAATGCATTCTGTCTCGAAATATGATGGCTCTAGGTTTTTATATCGCATCCAAATCGTATTCCAATAGAGTTATAACGCAAATCGAAAACTGCAGAATCGTCCCAAGTTTTTACACCATGCGACCACATGGTTGAACCTATTTCGGGATTTTAATTTTCGGATGGGCGTTAAGCAACCGCATGGTGTTATGACCTTCCAATTTGTGTCGTTTTAGTCCTCAAATTCAATCTTCTTGTTTATTGACCTCTTTTCTTCGACTCTTTTGTTCCATCATCTCATATTGACCTCCGATTGGTACTTGGTATTATCAATTATTCGATTGCTCCTTTGGTTTATCTTTTGGATATTTTCACTTTGGTCCCTGAACTATTACTTTGATTCGTTTTGGTCATTTCTACTTTTTTTTTTCTCGTGAATTCCATCAAGTCCATCAGAAGACCCAACAATCCAAGAATAAAGCTAATTTAGGTCACATTTCAAACACTTTGCTCGCATTTTAATCATATTTGTGAGTTATATAAGTGCATAAAAACGCACTTATCATATTCCGTATATGAAAAAGCAAAGAAACTAACTCAAGAAACCCTAACTACACAATGCAAAATTACAAGAATTGAATGATCTCATCGTGCGAGTTTTAAAACTCAGTTTTTTTTATTTCCATGAAAATCAATCAACAAAGGTTCAGATTTGCCACAGATTTACAGTTTTCTTGAGGATTTAGTATCACGTTTCATAGATCCAGACTCTGATGCCAGTGAAATGTCTATAAATAAATGAACACTCGATTCATTACAGAAAATTTTGAAGTACAAAAGATAAAATAGCAGAAAATTAAAACAAGAACACAAGAATTTTATGTAATTTATATAATTACAGAGATTGTGTTACTTATCGACATATAAGTTTGTGCTCTTTTAAAGTATCATTGGGTCGAAACAATTTTATCAAGTTATTAGAGATAACACTTATAATTATTATAAAAATTGAGTGAAATTCTATAGACATATTGTCTTTGATTTTAATTATAAATCCAATATATATACTTATGGGCATGTTAGGGATTTAGGGGAACAAGAATGTTGTTTGTCTTTGTCCCCTGATAATATGTGGTGTCCCAACGTTGAGGACTGCAGAGTTACTGATTTTTCTTCACTTTTTTCCCCCTTTTTGAAAAACATTTATTTTTTTTATTTTTTTTTGTGTATGTTATAAACTTATGCCCGTGAGGGGTCCAGTGTACTCGTTCAATATAATGAGAATCTTTTAGCCCCAGTTGTCAAAAGGGTAATACAGAATTGTTAGTCTCTTATTGCAATCTTGTCCTCAATCTTTATTATGTAACATTTCTGTCATCAACCTTTGAGTAATTAATGGGGGATTTGTACTAATGGAAAACTACACTTCTCATTAAGTAGCAAGCTAAAATTTTGAATAAACAAAAACTAATATTAAAAAAATGGAAATTAAAATAAACCCAAATATTTACTACAATTGTCGCAAAAAAATTCAGTGGATTAGGATTTTGAATCACTCAAAGAAGCAGAGATGTGAGAGAGAACTATCATAGTCAAATTTTAAATGGAAAACTCGTTAGAATGGCCACTTTCGACTGTGAAATGCTGCACTTTTATAAGAATTTTAATGCATGCATGCATGTAGAGGTTCAATCAGCCACCAATTGAAGCAATTAATAGTTAAATTATTCTTCAAATCCTCCATCTTTCAAGATAATGCAATTCAATCCTTGAGTCCTTTTATTCTTGCAACTCATTTCTTCTTTGATTCAATTCAAGTCCTTCACTTTCCAAAATATGAAATTTGATCTCCAAATTCTTCAATCTTCGATTCATGGTCCGGATCAACTATTGAATTGTTACAACTTGGTCCCAAACTTTTGCATTTCGCTCTTTTTCGGGTTTTCATCTCATTTCTTCCACTTTCTTGTACCAATATTGACTTCTATCTATTCATCACCAATGCAACAATTTAAATCATAATTTATCAGAGAAATACTAAATATTATCGTATTAAGGCCTCGAATAAGTGTATAAAATACACTTATCACCTGCTAACTATTTAAAAAATTGAGGATAGAGATATTTCAAAATAAAAGTCAAGGACAAGATTACTATGTGGGTCAAAGATTGGGGATCATTTCTATAAGTAACCCTAAAAATCAAAATAACAAAAATTTTGATAGGATTTTGGCACTTACAATTGAAATTTTCATACCTATCATAAAAATTTTATCAATTTGTGACTCTCTATGGAAGCATCAAATAATACAAGAAAGAATTATGATGAGTTAGGCATGCTCGATCACACAATATAAAACAAGACTGAAAAATAGAAGCATGAAAAATATTTATTCTATCAAATTCATTATGACTCGGTCCTTATAGATAAAAAGATTGCAGGAAGACAATATTTTAAACTTACACTCACAATTTTTAAAGTCAAATTTTCTTTCTACCATGAATTTATTGGTAACATAATAAAAATGTATCAGATTTCACGAATGAAGGGTTGTCTTAAGTAGTGGCGATCATTGTGAGTTGTCCGTAAAAGCTTCTTCAAATAGTTTACTAATGGTAACATTCCGTTGTGAGTTGTGACGAAATAAGAACCTGTTTTTATTTATTTATTTTTTACATTGTTTCAATTGTGTCCAATGGGTATTTTACGCATTCCAATGGTTAGGATAGGTAACTACGAAGAGGCACTTTAAGTTACAAGAAAACAAGACTTAAAAAGGTCAAAAACCGCTTCTTAAAAAATAAATTTTCTTTGAACATATTTTGATAATTTTTTTAAAAGTACTTTTTATGGCTA